AAAACAGCGTCTCGAACAATCGCCGAAGAGCTACGACACTCCCTTGCAACGATATCGTCCGCCGAAAGTAAAATCACGGAAATTGCAATTTTTCTGCGTTCGGGAACATTTCAAAGTCAGATTTTTCTTTTTTACATGACATGTTCTGTACACAAAAAATTCAAAGTCCAGCGATGGGGGAGAGTGAAATGGCAAGACAATTTGGATTCTGCCCGCAGATCTGGCGCTGGGGCAAGTTTGGCAAGTGGGGGCGCTCGACTTGTGGCTTTATAGATGTCGAATGTGGGCTCTGTGCATTCGTCGCTGACGGACCTTTCCAAGAAGCGCAAGATCATGGAATCGGCCAATGGTGAAGTTGTGATAATTTGAAAGTAAAATATGTCGTGAAATTGCAATTTGGGCCTGCGCAGCGATTTTGATAATGCGTAAATGATCACCGGTGCACTGCAGGCAGTCATCTTGGGTATATGTTATTTCCGGTACATTCCTCGTTTCCCAAACAATATGAGCCGCCTGCCAAATTCAATATAAAAAAAGACAAAAGTTGGGACTGAAGACGTGGCCAGGGCATGTGTGGAAAGAACGTACCTGTACAGGAAAATCCATCTCCAGTAAATCCAGGCTTGCAAACACATGAGAATGTCCCAGTCTGATTAGTACAGTGAGCATCACTGCTGCATGTAAAATTCAGTTTTTCGCATTCATTAAGTTCTGGACAGGGGTAAACACCAAGGCATGAACAACAATGTCTTATTGTGGACAGAGAGAGAGAGAGAGCGAGCGAGTTTTGGAATTTCGGAACCCCGACACAACACACTTTCTAGTTCTTCAAAAACAGTTCTAAGTTTTGAAACTGAGAGAGAGAGAGAGAGAGAGAGAGAGAGAGCGAGAGAGGCAGAGAGAGAGAGAGGGGAGAGAGAGAGAGAGAGAGAGAGAGACAGAGACAGAGAGAGAGAGAGAGAGAGAGAGAGAGAGAGAGAGAGAGAAAGAGAGGGAGGGAGGGAAAGAGAGAGAGAAAGAGAGAGAGAGCAAGGGAGAGAGAGAGGGTGCGAGATAGAAAGAGAGAGAGAGAGAAAGAGAGAGGGAGAGAGAGAGCGAGAGAGAGAGAGAGAGAGAGAGAGAGGGAGAGAGATAGGTTCAGAGACAGGGATAGGTAGATATATATATATATATATACACACAACAACAAGGTTGTCAGTTTCATAATACCAAAAGCTTTTCACCCATTTTCATCAGTGGTTACATGGGAATGAGCAAGAACGAAAACGAAGCCAGAATTTATACTGGGGGTAGAGAATCAGCAAGAATATATATATATATAGAGAGAGAGAGAGAGAGAGAGATAGTTCGTTGCAAGGGGTAACCAATTGATGCGTCTAGCACATCTCAATTCTAAAATCCACCGGGAATCCACAGGAAAACTACTCATACTACACTGTTATTATTCATTGCAAAAGAACACCGAAAGGCCGCATGGTGAAGACTAATGGTGAATGACTACTAAAGGATTCGAAGGGTCTATCGCCATTCAATAGAAAACACTGTCTCGAACAATCGCCGAAGAGCTACGACACTCTCTTGCAACGATATCGTCCGCCGAAAGTAAAATCACGGCAATTGCAATTTTTCTGCGTTCGGGAACATTTAAAAGTCAGATTTTTCTTTTTTACATGACATGTTCTGTACACAAAAATTCAAAGTCCAGCGATGGGGGAGAGTGAAATGGCAAGACAATTTGGATTCTGCCCGCAGATCTGGCGCTGGGGCAAGTTTGGCAAGTGGGGGCGCTCGACTTGTGGCTTTATAGATGTCGAATGTGGGCTCTGTGCATTCGTCGCTGACGGACCTTTCCAAGAAGAGCAAGATCATGGAATCGGCCAATGGTGAAGTTGTGATAATCTGAAGGTAAAATATGTCGTGAAATTGCAATTTGGGCCTGCGCAGCGATTTTGATAATGCGTAAATGATCACCGGTGCACTGCAGGCAGTCATCTTTGGTATATGTTATTTCCGGTACATTCCTCGTTTCCCAAACAATATGAGCCGCCTGCCAAATTCAATATAAAAAAAAACAAAAGTTGGGACTGAAGACGTGGCCAGGGCATGTGTGGAAAGAACGCACCTGTTTGATACCGGTAAGAGGAAGTGACTACTGGATTTTGTGGATGGGCGGCGTTGCATGCGAAAGTACTGATCGCGAAACTGTTTTTCATCGCCTCCAAACTACCGCTTGAATAATAATAATAATAATAATAATAATAATAATAATAATAATTTGGAAAGGATTGGGAGAACTTCATATTCAAAGGATCAGTCGGGGAAGTGAACTGCCTGAAAAGAGGAAAAAACGCCAGACCCACCAGGACTCGAACCTGGGACCCTGCTTTTCATGAGCAATGCTCTAACCACTGAGCTATGGTCCCAGGTTCGAGTCCTGGTGGGTCTGGCGTTTTTTTTCTCTTTTCAGGCAGTTCACTTCCCCGACTGGTCCTTTGAATAATGATAATAATAATAATAATTTGAAACTCGGGTATTGAGCCAATAATAAAAGTAGAAGGGAAAAGGACATATGGAAACGAGTTAAGAGTAACTCTTCACCACTGTAACTAGATACTATATACAGTAAGAAAGTGCAACAACTAGGCACAAAACTGACAGAGTACTGAGACATTCGACGTCCTGACACCTAGCTTCAACACATCTCCGTAGCGCTAACCGACAGCCTTTCAAGTTGGAAGGTTCAAGGTTATGGAAAGACCAAAGAGGGGAAAGCAAGCGCAACGAAAACGAGCACAAGCAACAGTCCCAACGGAACAAAGAATGTCGATTGTCACTGTACGATGACGAGACCAGTAGGCGATTTGACAAAGCGGTCTAACTACAATTCGAAGCAGCAAAGCAGCACACCACCCAACTTCCCCTCTTTGGTCTTTCCATAACCTTGAACCTTCCCAGTTGGAAGGCTGTCAGTTAGTGCTACGGAGATGTGTTGAAGCTAGGTGTCAGGACGTCGAATGTCTCAGTACTCTGTCAGTTTCGTGCCTAGTTGTTGCACTTTCTAACTGTATATAGTATCTAGTTACAGTGGTGAAGAGTTACTCTTAACTCGTTTCCATATGTCCTTTTTCTTTCTACTGCTACTACTGCTACTACTACTACTAATAATAATACTTGTTTAATACTCGTTACTTGTTTGACATGTATTACTGTGTATTTTATAACAAAAATATTATTGAGGCGGATGAATGTGTTGATCGTAAAAAGGTCAGCTGTGTATCTACACTTGTTATCTCGTCCTGACTGTCTTGGTGTGTATGATGACTCTCATTTTTCTGCACTGTGTCGTACGCGTTATGTCCAACAGTTGAAAGTCCTTGAGGCAGTTTGTATACGTATTCATATGCCTGTTTTGTGTAAGCAGAAAGAGCACATTGTGGCACTGAAGTTGTATTTGTAGGTTGACACTTCGTTCAGTGCCTTCTCGCCTTTGGTTACGTAATCTTGTTACCTTTTTGCGTTTCCTCTAGTGGTTTTAATGCACAGTTTCTTTGGTTGTATCATTTAGTTATTTTTTCCCACTGATGATAGGAACGAGAAAATCGATTCTGGGTTTTCAATAATATTTTTGATAAAGTACGCAGTAATACATGTCAAACAAGTAAAGTAGTTGCGTGATGTCTGCGGCCTTCTTCCTATTCATAGCTATATTAATAACGAGAGAGCTTGGAAGCTCAGGGCCCTACGCTATGCTTATATGTTTTTTTGCCTAGCTCATCGTACATGTTATAAGAACTGATGGAATTGTCTTTTTCCGTTGATTGGCCACATCACTGTATTGCAAAAACGTTTCAATCGGTTTGTATATTATGAGTTAGGCAAAAGTATTTGCAGAATTTATTGCGGATTGTTGTTTCTCTAATAATCATCTACTTTTGTTTTGCTCCTTCTTTAATTTTTATCTCCTTATATTGTAAATCAACAAATTTTGGCCGATGAGAAATAGAAACCTCTCGATTAGAGAGGTTAAGATGCACGTTATTTCCGACGTGACGCGCAGTTTCACGTCAAATTTGAAATCGATCGGTATTTTTGCTCTCA